AGGGCGAGGAGGGTGAGGCGGGAAGAGGCAGCACCTGCTAAGAGCACATTACCCAATTGTCGCACCAGAGGAGCTCCTGGAGTATGAGGAGAAGAAGCGGCAAGCTGAAGAGGAGAAGGTGCCACTGCCAGAGCTGGTTCGGGCCCAGGTGCCCTTCAGCTCCTGCCTGGAGGCCTACGGGGCCCCGGAACAGGTGGATGACTTCTGGAGCACAGCCCTGCAGGCCAAGTCGGTAGCTGTCAAGTAAGTCCCGGCCTGGCACAGCTGCTCTGCGGCGGGGCAATCCTCAGACACAGCCGCCCCTCAGCTTGGGATCTCAGGGTTGAATCTTCCAGAGTTGGTAATCTGTCCCTGAGGGAACCAGGAGGGCCAGCAGTGGTAGCTGCGGTAATGACCCTGTCTTGTCACCTTGTCCTGCCCCACCACTTGCCCTTCTCAAAGTGCAGGCTTTCTTCCCTTCATTGTGGCAGAGCACGGCCTTGCCGTCAGCTAGGGATTGTCATGGACACGGCGCCAGGAAGAGTGAGGCTCCACAGTGGACTTCTGACAAGTGGCCCTCCGTCTAGCCTGGCCCCCAGCCCTGTATGCTCTGTCAGGACAGGTCAAACCCAGGGCGAGGGTTTCAAGAGAGGAGAGTCTGCCATCCTGCCAGCACCTTCTTTCTTCCCTAGGACCACACGGTTTGCCTCATTCCCCGACTACCTGGTCATCCAGATCAAGAAGTTCACCTTCGGCTTAGACTGGGTGCCCAAGAAACTGGGTACGGTGTCTAGGTGGAGGGCGGTGCACCGGGCCGTGCTAGAAAAGGACAGGGCCTTAGCACGTGTAAACCAGCGTGTCTCACTGTCCTCGCAAAGAGGAAAAAAATTAACCTTGGCTATTCCAAATTGCAGCTGCTTTGAAAAGCTCTAAAACTATTGAGTCTTTGATTTTTGTTTTGGGTTTTTTGGATTTTTCTTTTTTTTCAAACGGGTTCTTGATCTATAGCACAGGGTGGCCTCCAACTTGCAATCTGCCTGTCTCGGCTCCCAAATGCTGGGATTACACATGTGCGTCACCAAGCTTGGCTCAGTGGCTTTCATTTTATAGTTAGGATTTTCAACTGAAAATTATTTTTGTGGTTTTAGTTTTTTTTTTTTGTACCAGGGATCGAACTCAGGACCTTGCGCTTGTGAGGCAGGCGCCTGAACCACTGAGCTAAACCCCCGGCCCTTGTCTTTTCATTTTGATAATCTTGAAACAGTTTACCTGTATCTTCCAAGTTCAGGGCTCAAGTTGAGAGCTGCTGATTTACCTTCATTTTGTTTTTTTGTTTGTTTGTTTTGGTACCGGGGATCGAGCTTGGGTCCTTGTGCTTGGGAGACAGGCGGCAGAACCACTGAGCTAAATCCCCGGCCCTACCTTCCCTTTGAGGATGAGGAAGTTGAGACCCACAGGAGCGCTGGTTCCTCTGAGTCACCAGTTGGAGGACCCGCTGCTCAGGGGCTCTTGGTGGTAGATCTCCGGCTCCTGGACTCACTAGTGTTTCTGTCCTACTGGGAACCCTGAAGTTGGCGCTCACTTACTAATTCCTTCGTGCTGAGCAGTTCCAGCCACGGGGCAAGGGCTTGAGAGTCACAGAGGGTTTTTGCAGGTGGGCCTCGGGCTGCTGAGGTGACCCTTCTGCCCTTCTAATGGCAGATGTGTCCATTGAGATGCCAGAGGAGCTAGACATCTCCCAATTGAGGGGTACAGGGCTGCAGCCGGGAGAGGAGGAGCTGCCTGACATTGCCCCACCCCTGGTCACTCCGGATGAGCCCAAAGGTAGCCTTGGTTTCTATGGCAACGAAGACGAAGACTCCTTCTGCTCCCCTCACTTCTCCTCTCCAACATGTTAGTGACTCTTCTTCCTGCCTGTCTCTCCTTTGCTGATGGGGGCTTCTCTGCCTTGCTTCCCTAGACCCTGTCCTTTGTGTTTCTGCTGTCCTCCCTTTCACATTTCCTCTGCCCTCTTCCGATGGATTTGGGGACCAAGTGGAACAGTCGCAGCCATGCTTGCTGCGTGTGGGCGGCAGTGGCATGGCCTCCTTGCCCCTCTACCCTCCTTACACCTTGGTTTGGAGGGGCGGGGCCGTCATCTTCAGAAAGGGCCCGTTCTGTGAGAAGGGCAGGAAAGTGACCGTCCTCAGGCTCCTGAGTCCGCATTATATTATGTGTCCCTTTGGAAGAAGAATGCACGGAATGGGCGACTGAGAGAGGGCTAGGGCCCAGCATGTGGGAGGGAAGAGGAGTAAATAGAAACCACAGCCCCAGCAGTCAGGTCACAGGCCCATGTCTCCCTGTCGCAGCACCCATGCTGGACGAGTCGGTCATCATACAGCTGGTGGAAATGGGCTTTCCCATGGACGCCTGCCGCAAGGCTGTCTACTACACGGGCAACAGTGGGGCTGAGGCCGCCATGAACTGGGTCATGTCACACATGGACGATCCAGGTAGGCAAGAGCATGTGGCAGGGTGGGCCAGGGCCTCCGTCCTCCCCCACATGCTCCAACCCCTTCACGTCCACAGATTTCGCAAACCCCCTCGTCCTGCCTGGCTCCAGTGGGCCAGGCTCCACAAGCGCAGCCGCCGACCCCCCACCGGAAGACTGTGTGGCCACCATTGTGTCCATGGGCTTCTCCAGAGACCAGGCCCTGAAAGCTCTGCGGGCCACGGTATGGGCTGCCCTGCTAAAGGACTGGCGCCATGGGGAGAAGGGGGTGGGCCCAAGGTGCCACCTGGGTGAGTAGGATGGAGGACCGAGGCTGGGGGCCCCTCTGTTGCTGCAGCAGAGGTGCTGAGGCTGGCTAGGAAAAGCAACACTTTCTCTTCTCCCAGAACAATAGTTTGGAACGGGCCGTGGACTGGATCTTCAGTCACATTGACGATCTGGATGCGGAAGCAGCCATGGACATCTCCGAGGGCCGGTCAGCCGCTGACTCCATCTCTGAGTCTGTGCCAGTGGGACCTAAAGTCCGGGATGGCCCTGGAAGTGAGTGTCCCGGGAAATAGGACAGAGCTGGTGGCATCTACCATTGTGCTACACCAGGCCCCTCATGTCAAGAAGCTCTGCTTTCCTGAGGTCTAGGGCTTCTGAAGCCTCTTTCCATGGCCGGGACTTGTGAGGGTGGGATTCTAGCTGCCTGAGGTGGCCTTTGCCCAGGATGTGCCCCCATGTCCCTTCGAAGCTCCTGTTCCAATTGGAGCTGTTCAGACATCTCGGGACTGTCACTCAAGGCTCTCTCCTATTTTTCCCTCTGCCTTCTGTCTCTCCTTCCCCAGAGTATCAGCTCTTTGCCTTCATTAGTCACATGGGCACCTCCACCATGTGTGGTCACTACGTCTGCCACATCAAGAAGGAAGGCAGGTGAGGGCCGGCCGTGTGCCCTGCCAGTGAGAGGTGGTGGTGGGCGTGAGGAGGGGGACCTGGAAGTCCCTGGGGATCTTCAGCACACCTGGATGAGAGAATGCATTGCAGCAGAGATAGGCCGAGCACAGCCCCGAGGCTGACTGGCCCACCTCTGCTGGTGGACTTTGCCTGGACAGCCACTGCTTGTTCACGTATTGCCCATGAGCCTTTGCACGTGGCCCAGGAAAGCCGAGTAGCTGTGTCAGACCAGAAGGCCTGCAGATCCGAGAGTACTGACTGATTCTGCTGTGCCCCTGCCTCGCCTCGTGGGACTGGGTGGAGGGGTGGCTGGAGGTCCTGGGCTCTGCAGGCACCAGTCGGGGAGCCAGTCCTTGTTAGACGGGGAAGCGCCCAGAGGTGGCAGGCGACTCCACCGGGAGTCCAGGCAGGGATCCCCCACCTCGGGGGTGGCTGAGATGAAGTTGGTGGGCTGGGAATGCTGTGTGTTCACCCTTTCCTGCCCTTCTCACCTTCCTAGATGGGTAATCTACAATGACCAGAAAGTGTGTGCCTCCGAGAAGCCGCCCAAGGACCTGGGCTACATCTACTTCTACCAGAGAGTGGCCAGCTAAGGCCCTGCCCACCCACGGAGGGCAAGGGATGGACCACCGGGCACAGAGCGGGGGCTGAGGAGCCTGTACCCTGCTCCGCACCTTTTTCTTTTGTCCCCAGCAGCAGGGAAGAAGCTGGAGGCCATAGGAAAATGGCCAGGCAAAGCAGAGGGGCCCGGGAGTGACTGGGGCGGGCGCAGGCCGAGTGCCCATCTGCGGAGAGACTGGCTGCCGTGTCCCAGTGTGGGCACAGCTCGCTGCCTCTGTAGCTCTGTGGCTCCCTCATAGGGGCGCTGACTTGTGTGCCGTGGGTGTAGCTTCGTGTGTCCTCCACCCCTGTTCACTCCATGTGGTTGGGCAAGGAGGGATAGAGGGTCCTGGGGGCTCCCTTCCCCTCCTGTCTAAGTCTTTCCCCCACCCTGTCTCTTCCTTGTCCTCTGGAAAATGCCAAATTACACGATGTGAATAAAAGTACAATGGGAAACGCGTTTGCACCTTGGCGAGGCTTCCCTTCCGGGAAGATAAGGAAGTGCCTGGCTTTGCCCCTGCCCCACGGGGTGTGAGATTAGGAAGTGGAATAGCGGGGCCTGAAACGGGGAGCACAAAGGGGGGGGGGGCTGCTGTTTCCCGGAAACCCTGGTGGCTGTGGGCCCTTTCCTCCCAGGCCGTGTTCCTGTTCGGCCCAGAGGGGACACTAGGGTGGAGGAGCACGCGGCCGAACACCTCCAGGGCGCTCTTGCTGCTTGGCCTGGGCTGCCCCTTCCCGGTATTTGCCCGGACCTGGGGCGCCTGCCCAGCGGTCAGGGATGGAGCGCTGGGCGGGGGGCAGCTCTCCCAGCGCGAGCTGAGCTCAAGGTTCCGTTCGGGGGCCTCTGTCCGGGCCCGTGGGGCTAACGGGAGTGGGACCGCCCCTCCCCGCCGGACCCAAACGTTGCTAGGCAGGCGCAGGAACGCGGCGGGCAGGCGGGGCGCCATGGCGGGGGGGGGGCGGACTTCTGCCTCGCCCGGCTCTACATAAGCGGCCGGCCGCAGCTGCGCGCTGGTCCTGACCTTCAGCGGCCCAGCTCCCGCGCCATGGCGCCGTCCAGGAAGTTCTTCGTGGGGGGCAACTGGAAGATGAACGGGCGGAAGAACACCCTGGGGGAGCTCATCAGCACCCTGAAGGCCGGCCGCAGCTGCGCGCTGGTCCTGACCTTCAGCGGCCCAGCTCCCGCGACATGGCGCCGTCCAGGAAGTTCTTCGTGGGGGGCAACTGGAAGATGAACGGGCGGAAGAACACCCTGGGGGAGCTCATCAGCACCCTGAACGCCGCCAAGGTGCCGGCCGACACCGGTGAGCGCTCGGCGGGAGCCGAGGGCCCGGAGCGTCGGGCGCGGCCGCGGGGTCCGCCCGCGTCGACCTGGGTGCGGGGCCGATGGACGTGGCGTCGGGTGCCGGCGCGGCGGTCCCGCAGCCGCAGCACCGAGCCTTGTCGGGGAAGAAAGGCGCATTCACGGCCTGTGGGGCGGCAAAGGACGACCTGGGTCCTGGAAGGAAGATGACCCCTGGGCTGGGACTGGGGCCGCGCCGGCCCAGAGCCGGGGAGGGAGGGAGAAGCTGCTTGACCCGGGGTGCGGGGCTGAGCTCGTGCGCCCCGCTACCTGGCCCGCCCGCCGCTCCGTGCGCCTCCGCACGTAGCCCGCGGCTCCTCCCCGCGCCTCCGGGGCTCTGATGCCTTCCGCCGCAGGGACTGAGCAGGTGCTAAATAGGCTGAGTCCTCTGGGGAGGGCGAGTGATCCCACAGCCTTCCCGAGCCCTGAGTGGGAGCGCGATAGGCCTCTGTGCCGCCCACCGACACAGTGCCGGCTCCAGCCTTCTCGAACCTACCTAAGTCACAGCCACGGCCTGGGCGGGGGCGGGCGGCTGGGAGGCTTTCTCTCTTAGTCCCCAAAGACGGAACTATGCAGCCAGGAGTCGGCCCCTTCGCCTTTGGTTGAAAATCCGTGCCTTAGAGGAGTGGGCTATTTTAGAAGACAAGCAGGGTTGGCCCCCAAAGAATGCTGAGTCTGAGAGGTGCTTATGCCCAGAATAGCCCAAGGAAATCGGAGCCACAGCTGTTAAAGAGGAGAGGGCAGAGTGAGGGCTGTAGGCTGTCTGTAGTGTGTGGAAGGCTCCGAGTTGGGTGCAGGCCCAGGCTGGGCTGCGGAGTGGACAGAGGTCTTCTTGCTGGGGTGGAGAGCAGGGGAGCAGAAGCAAGGAAGAGGCGAGGCCTGGGAGCCCCAGGGCACTGAGGGCTTTCACTGATCCCATCTGTGCCTCCATCTGTGCCCAGAGGTGGTTTGTGCGCCCCCTACTGCCTACATCGACTTCGCCAGGCAGAAGCTGGACCCCAAGATTGCTGTGGCTGCGCAGAACTGCTACAAAGTGACTAACGGGGCCTTCACTGGGGAGATCAGGTGAGACGGAGGAGCTGCCTGCTCTCAGGGGAAGCCCGAGGTGGCTCCCTGCTGAAGCTTGGCCTATCTTTTTCCTTAGCCCTGGCATGATCAAAGACCTTGGAGCCACATGGGTAGTCCTGGGCCACTCGGAGAGGAGGCACGTCTTCGGGGAATCAGATGAGGTAAGTAGTGACTGGGCCAGGAGATAAGAGATCCCCTGTTTCTAGAGGGTCTCACCAGGTATGTTCCTCAACAGCTGATCGGGCAGAAGGTGGCCCACGCCCTGGCAGAGGGCCTGGGAGTAATCGCTTGCATCGGGGAGAAGCTGGATGAGAGGGAAGCTGGCATCACAGAGAAGGTCGTTTTTGAGCAAACCAAGGTCATCGCAGGTATCTCAAGAGAAAGGGATCTTTGTACCTAGGTGGGGGTGCAGGCGGAAGTAGGGGTCAGGGGCCCTTCAGCCTGCCTAGATTCCATGCTCCTCTCGAAAGGGAAGCAGAGGGTTCCTCGCTTGGTCCTCACCACCTTTATGCCCCTGAGGGTACAGGTGCCACCTGGAGATTCCTCAAAACCAGTCTCTGTACCCTGGGGACCTGCCGGAGAGGCCTTGTTTTCACCCTTCCCTCTTTGTGATCTCCCTGCAGATAACGTGAAGGACTGGAGCAAGGTGGTGTTGGCCTATGAACCTGTGTGGGCCATCGGTACGGGCAAGACTGCAACGCCTCAACAGGTAACAGCCAGAGCCTGCCCTCACCCTGTCTTGCCCCAGTAGCACCACCCAGCCACAGAGACCACCTGGGCCGGCCCCTTGTTTTATTAAGAGGCATGAGCCAACTTAGCCCAGTGGTTCCACCACCTGCCTCGAAAGCGCAAGGACCCAAGTTTGATCCCAGGTACCGGAAAAAATAGAGGCATGAGAAAGATTTATTAGAGGGAGATACAGGATGCATTCAAGAGAGTGCGGTGCTCAAATGAGGCAGATACTGTTGGGAGCTGGTGCTCTTTTGTGTGTTTTGGGAGGTGGAAATCTGTGGAGTTCAGTAATCTATAGTCTTAGTCTTAGGTGGGAGAGGGTGCCCTCCCCTACTGAGCTATTCCTAGGGAAAATGCCAAAAGAGAGGTCTCTTCTGGGGGTGAAAGAGGACCTTTTGCAAATAAAAGGGAACAGGCAGCCCCCTTTGAAGCTGAAAGGGAATTGCCCAGTTAGGCTGTTTAGGAAGAAGAAAAATATAAATACACCGGGTTTGTGTTCTGAAGCTGGTTTTTCCTTAAAGTACAATTTAAAATTTTTGATTTCCTTGTCTCCTTTCTACTTAACTTTATTTCTTCTACCCTACCTAAAACGCTCATTTGAAAGATGGAGCCCACACACACAGAGATAGTGACTTGCCCAAGGGCATCCAGTCAAAGCCTGGTTGGGATGAGAACCTTGGCATTTGGACTCAGGTCCCCAGGTCTTGCGTAGAAACCAAACAAACCCTACTGGTGCCAGCGATTTGTCCTATGTGGCTGAGAAGCAGGACAGGTCTTACTTAGTCTGCCTTTTCACTCTAGGCCCAGGAAGTACATGAGAAGCTCCGGGGATGGCTTAAGTCCAATGTGTCTGAAGCAGTGGCTCAGAGCACCCGAATCATTTACGGAGGTGAGGGGCTCTGGCTCCCGCCTGTGGGTTGGGCTGAGTAGGGGCAGCAGAGATGGAGCGTACTCACCTTTCTCCCCCTTCCCAGGTTCTGTGACTGGGGCAACCTGCAAAGAGCTGTCAAGCCAGCCCGATGTGGATGGCTTCCTAGTGGGCGGTGCATCCCTCAAGCCTGAATTCGTGGACATCATCAATGCCAAACACTAAGTGCCATCTGGTTCCCCTCCCCTTCCTGCTACCCAGGCCTAGAAGCCCGGCAATGCCCCTCCCCAGCTGATGATGCCATCTGCCCCCTCAGCCTAATCCAGAGTTTACACCTCCCTTGTAAAGGTTGGGACCAGGCCAATCCCTTCACTGCTTAGTCTCATTGGAAGGAGGTGGCTTCTCCTTGGCTGAGAGGCAGAAGGAGTCCGCTTGCTGAGAGCAGCAGAGAAGTTCTCCCCCCACACCCCGTGACAGCCTCCCCTCAGCACTGTGTCTGTGAGCCATCCCACCTGTAAGGGAAATAAACATCTGCCACTAAGACATGTGCTTGTCCTCCCTCCCTGTGCTTGGCAATATAATCTCTGTCCCTTTTTTTTTTTAAAGACAGGGTCTTGCTATGTAGTTTAGGCTGGCCTCAAACTCTGGCAGTCTTTTTTTTTTTTTGGTACCGGGGATCGAACTCGGGTTCTTCTACTTTTGAGGCAGGCAGCGGAACCACTGAGCTAAATCCTAGGCCAATATTATTCTGATAATCATTAGCTTTGCCTTCTTTTTTTTTCTTTTTTGGTACTGGGGATCGAACTCAGGTCCTTGTGCTTGTGCAGCAGGCGCCGAAACCACTGAGCTAAATCCCCGGCCCTCTGGCAGTCTTGCCTCAGCTTCCCCAGTGCTGGGATTACAGGGGTGTACCACCACACCCAGCAATCTGACCTTTTTAAGGTAGTCACAGGACTATGGCTTGTCCCCGTCCCCCCAAAAAAAAGACAGCAGGAAAACCAAACAACCACGAATAGGGTTCTATAACAACACATCTCTTAAACTATTTCTTTTATCTTTAACATTTATCTCTCATTTTTACTTTAAAAAATGTCTCGTGTACCAGGCTGGAATATCCTCTCTCTGGGCCTGTGGTCCTGCTGAGCTGCCAGAGCTCCTGCTGCAGAAGGAGGCCAGCCTCACTTGGCTTTTAGTAGGTCTGGGGTAAGGGTGGTGGCGTCACAGGGTCACTGGTACAGCAGATAACGCTTCATGGCAGGGGGCAAGGGCAGAGCAGACACCTGCCCTAGCCGGGTGTCCCCCAGGGTGTGGCGCACACACAGGCGGCTCAGGTGCAGAAGGGAGTGTGGTTCCGCTGGGGGAGAGAAGGACGGGAGATTAAGCAGGTGTAGCCATGGACACACTCCTCACACCAAAAGGTCCTGCCATCTTCTGCCTTCCTGCCCTAGCCTGCCTCTTGTCAGCTGAGGGAGGTCTTGGGGGCTCCCTAGACTTCTGTACGGCACATCTTGAGTGAGAGCTGAGTATGAAGCCCCAAGTCCCTCCAAGCAGCAGGCCAAAATGGCTCCAACCGTGGTACAGCCGGCCCAGGCCTGGATTTGGGAGGCCTTAGGAGGCGAAAGGGAGGCTGGCCCTCCTCCACTGCGAGCTCCATCTGGGCGACAGGACAGGCATCTGCCCACTGCTGAGGCCAGCAGCCTCCAGAGCCAGCTCCCCTCCGGCCCCACCCATGGCCTGGCTCTGCTTTCCTTTTCGGTGCCCAGGGCCCCGTGGCTTCATCCTGGGGTTTAAAGAAGGAAGTGGCTATGTGGCCAAGACAAGTCAGAGCCCAACGAATCTGCTACACCTTGGGTGCTTGGCACTGCCTGTTCTTTTCTTTTTGGACCTGTACACCTAGTCCAGTTACCTGGTCGATCACTTGCTCTTCTTGCTCAGGAGCAGCTCTCTCCTGTGAAGCCCTAAGCTTGCCTCCCTCCCTTCTGCAGGCTTGCCACGTACTAGCCAAAAGACCCCGAAAGTTGCTTTCAAAAGCCTTGATTTTACTTCTGCTGCTGGTGGACTTAGACCCTCAGCCATTCCTAGCCCCCAAAAGACAGGTCAAATGAAGGCCCACCACTCTGCTCTCCTCCACCTTTGCTTCCATCCCAAACCACCACCACCACCACCAGTGTGTCCTCTCCCCACCCTTCCCCAGGCCTCACCTCTCCTTTCGCCCAGGTAGCGGATTCGGACCTGGCACTGGCCCCAGACAGCACTTACAGCGGGATAGAGGGTCCTGCCCTTCAGTCCGCGGAAGGCTGGCCCCAGGTAGGTGCTCCCAACAGCGTAGCCCAGAGTTCCCTCCTCCATGTCCAGAACCACCAGCAGCCTCTCCGGCACCGCCAGCTGCTCACCCTGAGGCCTAGCCGGATACCGGGGAGCGTCGGGCCCCTTGCTCTGATGGTACAGCTTCCCTCGCCCGACGTCCCAGCCCCATGACTCGCTGTTGCTGCCCAGCAGCGCCGCATAGTAGTCAGCCTGCAGCGGGGCGCGGGCCGTGGCGACCCCCACCACGGCGTGGGTGCCCCTCTGCTCCCGGGGCCAGCTGATCTCCCAGGCGTGCAGGCCCCGCGAGTAGCCCCTCTTTCCCCGGACCCCATCCGTGCTCTGAGCCACGGGCCGCCGCTCAAAGCACAGCCCCCCTTCCTTGACCACAATGTTCTCGGAGCAGTCCTTGGGATTCCAGCCGTGGCGCCTCTGGGCCCCCAGGTCAAGAGCAGGAGCCGACAGGAGCTCCTCCAAGCCCTCGGGACGAGAGAGGTCAGGGCAGAGGGCCTGCGGGGCGGGGGTGCAGCTGCCGCCCCCCGCCAGGGCCGTCTGGCCCATGGAGGTGAGCGGCTGGCGGACTCCCCCGGAGAGCCTTGCTGGGGCGCCTCTTGTAAAAGTGGAGCTCCGAGAGGGGCCGATCTGGAGGGCAGGTGGGAGGGAAAGGGGCCTGAAGCGCGGGCCCGAGTGTGGGGACCTCACCCGGGAACCCTGACCTTTCACCCTACGCGCAGACCGGCCTGCGCCCCCAACGCGCCTGGGTGCAGCACCCCGCCTGCGCCCGGGCTGCGCCGGATCCCACGAGACTCCGAGCCGCCCCCTTAGGACCTCACCATTGGCCGCCCCCCACGGCCGCCCCGAGCTCCTGCCGCCACTGTCCCCAACCTCGCCTGCCTCCCTCCAGGCCGGGGGTCGTAGGACCTCGGGAGGAAGCAGCCGAGGGGCCTACGCGCAACCGGGTCTGCGGGAGCTTCCGCCTCCAGCGCGGCGCCCCGCCCCCGGGCGGTTAACCCGCCAGTCAGCGCGCAGGCTACACCCCCGAGCTTGCCCGGCGGTTACCACGGCTTCCGGGTGGCGTCGCGGGCAGTGACTTGCGCCGGGAGGTCTCCCGGACAGCGCCCCTCCCGTCGCCACCCTAGGGTCCGCCCCCGGGCCGTCCCCGTTCTGAATGAACCCTCGGATGCCAGGCCGCTCCCTAGGATCCCTGCGGGTGTGCACAGTGGAGACCTGTGGGTCACCCGGGTGGCCGGTCGGGCGTGAGGTCGAGGAAGGGCTTCCCCGTGTCCGCTTGGTTTCCGAGGCCCCGAGATTCTGGGTCACCGCTGCCGGGCTGGACCCTTCCTGCCCTGGGCGGAGCCAGCCTGCGCGGACACCAGAGGTTCCCAACTGTGTCCCGGGGTCCAGCTGTAGGTGTCTAGGTCTCGGCTGCCCCACACCGCACGCCAGGCCCTTCCTAGACTGATGGTCTCTCTCACTCTGTAGACCTCAGGGCTAAGGCTCTGTTGTTTTGAGATTCGGGTCTCTCCAAGTAGCCCGCACTGAAGCATCCTCCAGCCTCAGCCTCCTGAGTGGCTGAGACTACTGCTCACTTCTTTGTCCTAGTTCAGAGGGCTGTTCCAAGGGAAGGTCTGGGGCGGTTGCCAAACTATCCAAACTTGTTTTCTCTTATGTAAAATGGGAATAAGGATGGTACTTACATCACAAAGTTGCTTTAGAGTTGAAACAGTCTAGGTGAAACCAAGCGAGGTGGCATGTGCTTGTAGTCCCAGCTATTCGGATGGCTGAGGCAAGAAGATAGTGACTTTAGGTCAGCCTAGGCAACAAAGGGAAACTGTTAAAAAAAAAAAAAAATCCAGGTAGAGCACTTAGCACAGAGCCTGGTGCATAGCAAGCACTCCCTGAGCATAGCTATTGTTTCCTGAACATTTCCTAAGTGCCACTCTATAGCAAGGCACGTGAAAGAGGCCAAAGATGCTGAACCAGACTGGGCATAAACACCCGAAGGCCAGCCTGCATTGACCTCCTGTGCCTATTTATCAGAGCGTCTATTGTGTAGGATGCAACAAGCTTATATGTAAAGCATTTAGGGCAGTTTCTGGCTCCCATTCAATGACTTGTGCTAAGTACTGGAGATTTAGTAATGAGTCTTCAAAGATGATTCGAAGACATTTATAAAAGTTTAGCACGTAGCTTGGTGTGGTGGCATACACCTGTAATCCCAGCACTCAAGAGGCTGAGGCAAGATCGCTGTGAGTTACAGGCAAGGGCAGCCTGAACTACATATTGAGACCCTATCTCAAAAAATAAAAAAAATAAAGTTTAAAGGGAGGGGGGCTGAGGGATGTAGCTCAGGGCAAAGGCCCTGGGTTCAATCTTCAGAAGTGGGGCCTGGGGAATGTAGGTCAGTGGCAGAGCCCTTGCCTGGCATATGCACACTGGCCCTAGTTTCCTGCCTCAGTCTCTCCCTTTCCCCCACAAAGCATGCCTAGGTCCACCAAAAGGCTTGTACATCATGTACATAGTAACTCGTTTTTCTTTTTTCTAGTGTTGGTAAAGAACCTAGGGCCTCTAAACCTGAACTCACCCAGCCCAGCATGTATTTCTATTGGATACAAATTCATAATAGAATTGCTGAGTTACAAAGAATTACCAGGTACCAACTTAACCACATTTAATACATGGGCTTTATTCAGAAATTAAGTCATTGAGGTATTTTACAGCGTGGGACACTTCAGTAAATTTAGAACCATTTTTACAATACATTTTATTTTACCCCATTCCTCCCTCAAGCCCCCTCCCCTCCCTATGTACAAAAGGTTCATTTCCATTTTTTCCTTCTAGTTTCACTTTTTTTCTTGTCTCTTCCTTTCTCCCTCCTCCTTTGTTCCCCTTGCCGTTTGAACACTTTCTTCCTATTTCCCAACATCCAATCTACAACGATTTAAACTGATCTTCTCGTCCTAGTTATCTTTGTCGTTTTTGTTTTTTTGGTACCGGGGATCGAACTCAGGTCCTTGCGCTTGCGCAGCAGGCGGCGAAACCACTGAGCTAAATCCCCGGCCCTATCTTTGTCTTTCGAGGATGATTTATCAGCTCCCTAAGCTATTCATTTATTTATTTATTTATTATCTGGTACCAGAAATCGAACTCAGGTCCTTGTGCTTACCAGGCAGGCATGGCACCACTGCGCTACATCCCCAGCCCTATTTTATTATTATTCTCTGTGGCTCTCAAGAAATTCTTAAATCAGGAGCCATGGTGCACACCTGTAATCCCAGCTACTTAGGCGACTGTGTCAGGAAAAGTGAAAGTTCAACTCCAGCCTGTCCAATTTAGTGGGACCCTATCTGCAGCTCAGAGCGAGGCCTGGAGTACAATCTCCAGTCCTGAAAAAAAAATCCTTAATTTCTTATTCAGTGATGTCTACAAAACCATCCCGATTCCCTTGCTAGGCCATATGAACAATGAGTTTCACCTCTGTCTCACAGAAATCATTAAATTCCCAATCACATTCATCCCACATCCACTTCCTGTTCGGTGTAAATGATGCGGAGGACCCAGTTTAGGATCCAGGAGGAGGAGGGTCGGCCTGCACAGCGCTGAGCAAGGCATGCTGGGGGAAGTGGGTGGTGCTGAGGGGGAGGGGCTCCTGGGGCCTTTCTCCAGCAATGTTCAATTTCAGTCTTCATTAAAGATTAATATGGGCTGGGGATTTAGCTCAGTGCTTCCGGCGCCTGCCTTGCAAGCGCAAGGTCCCGAGTTTGATCCCCGGTACAAAAAAAAAAAAAAAAAAGATTAATAACGCGCACTTTGGTGTCATTGTAGCAATTGTATAACCTGATGAGCCGGTTTCACAAATCTCTTGAATCTTGATTGCACCGGTGGATACTCCCCTCTCTCTCAATTTTTGAGACATGGTCTCACTTGTTCGCTAAACTGCCCAGGCTGGGTTCAAACTTCTGATCCTCCTGCCTCAGCCTCCCTGAGAGCTGGGATTACAGGCGTGTGCTTTTCTTGAAGCCATTATTTTTGTGCCACTTTCCAGACGGACACCTCACCTCTCGCTTAGTAAGCTAGTTTTCTTTCAGGTCAGAAAGGGATTGCTGCTTCCTTGCTTGGGAGCCAGATGAGGTGGCCGGACTGCGTTCGGATGCCATGATCACGGAGGAGGGCTCTAAAGCGCGGGGGCCTCACTTGAAGACGCACCAGAGCCACAGTGAAAGCCGAGATGCGCAGAGGTCCAGCCCGGTCAAGGCAAGGACAGTTTGGTCTCCCCTGGCAGGGCACGGAAGGGGCGATGGCCACGTTAAAAGTGCACACGACGAAACTCCGCATCTCCTTTCACGCCCACGATTAATTTTTCCAATTTTTACAGATTTCTGCGTGAAATGTAGAAAAGGTAAATCACCCAAGAGTAGGAAGGAAATGGCTTCCGACTAGAAGATGGGAAACCCGGGCCCCGCCCCGCCCCGCCCCGCCCCATCCCGCCCGTTACGTAACCACAGCGGTGGGGGGCTCCCTACGCCGATGGTCATGTGGGATGCGCGGCCCGCAGTCTCACGCCCGAGTGCCTCGCGCGCCCCCGAGCGGCCGCGGGCGGTGCCGGCTTCGCCTGCCAGCCCCACTGCCCTCGCCTGGCGCGCGTCCTCGCCTCTGGGATGCTCTGCTCCGGAAAAGGCCCGGCCGCTAAGGGGCTGCCCTGTCCCACACTACGCCAGCTCCAGAGGAGGTGCAACTGCCAGAGTGCTCCTGCGAATCTCATAATTGAGGCTTTATTTATTTAGGGTGTTTTGGGGTTTTTTTTTGAGACAGGGTCTCTCTATGTAGTTCTGGCTGGCCTTGAACTCGCTGCAATTCTCCTGCCTCAGCCTCCCCAGTCCTGACCCCCCACCAAGCCTGGCACTTTATTTTTAATGTTGACCACTTTTTGTCTTTTTGTGTGTCTGTGTGTGGTGCAGAGGGTGCGACCTGGCCTCACACATGCTAGACGAGAACCTCACCCTTCAGCCTCACACCTAGCCCTGAGAGTTTCTTTAAAGTTATACCCATCAATAGGGAACAGTTAAAAGTTATTAGTACAGAGGGCCAGAGATATAGCTCAGTGGTGTTGCTGCGAGCTGCGAACGCGCAAGGACTGGAGTTCCATCCCCAGTACCAAAAAAAGTTATAGTACAGTTATATAATAAAGACTAGACAAGCATAAAAACAAGAGGTATGGGCCAGGAATTTAGCTCAGTGGTTCTGCTGCCTTCCTTGCAAGGGCAAGGTCCCGAGTTCGATCCCTGGTACCAAAACAAAAACAAAATGGAAAATGTGGATCTACATTTAGTGATATGAAAAAAGCCCAAAACTTATTATTTGTTTTGTTTTTGTTCTTGGTACCAGGGATCGAACTCAGGACCTTGTGCTTCCGAGGCAGGCGACGGCACCATTGAGCTAAATCCCTGGCCCTATTATTTGTTTTTTTGAGACAAGGTCTCACTATGTAGGCCAGGCTGGCTTTGAACTCATGGCGATCCTCCTGGCTCAGCCTCCCTAGTGGTAGGATTACAGGTGTGCTCCACCATGCCTGGCTCAAAACATTGTTAAATTTAAAAATCCAATTGGTGAGGCTGGGAATTTAGCCCAGTGGTTTTGCCGCCTGCTGTGCAAGCACAAGGACCCGAGTTCAATCCCCAGTACCAAAAAAAAAAAAAAAAAGATCCAATTGATGAGCAGTATTTACTATGTTTGTTTGTTTTGGTTTTGGTTTTGGTACCGGGGATCGAACTTGGGTCCTTGCACTTGCACAGCAGGCGGCAAAACCACTGAGCTAAATCCCCGGCTCGAGCATTATTTACTATGACTCATGTCATTTTTGTTTTGCTTTGTTTTTACAGTACTGAGGCCTGAATGCAGGGCTTTTGCACTGAGTTATAGATCCAGTCCTTTAAATTTTTCATTTTGAGAAAGGATCTTACTAAGTTGGTCAGTTGCCCAGGCTGGCCTTGAACTCACTATGCAGCCCAGGCTGGCCTCGAACTGGCAGAGATCCCTCCTGCTTCAGCCTCCTGAGTACTAGAATTACAGGCATGCACCACCATGCCCAGTTCTGCCATTTACATTTTTTTTGGTACTGGGGATCGAACTTGGGTCCTTGCACTTGTGAGGCAGGTGGCAGAACCAATGAGCTAAATCCCAGCCCTGCCATTTACATTTTTAAAAAATGCATATATATATATATATATATATATATATATATATATATATATGGGGTATTTGGGGGGGGGTTGGTAATGGGGATCGAACTCAGGACCTTCTGCTTGTGAGGTAAGCAGCGGAACCACTGAGCTAAATCCCTGGCCCTAAAAATGTATATATTAAAGAAAGATGGTGGCACTGAGGCATCCTGAACTTCTATGTCCCTCCCTATACACTTCCTATTATTTGCTTTGTTGTTGTCGTTATTTGTGGTGCTAAGATTTGAACCTAGGGCCTCACAAATGGGTACCACTGAGCTATAGCCCTGGCCTGTACTTTCGTTTCAATTAAATAACGCTTTTGTCACAAATTAGATTCATCTAGACTGGCTGGTGGGGAAGGCTGTTGGGTGTCATGAAGTACGTAGCCTGGTGAGGCAGCCTAGCTCCAGTCCTTGCCAACTGAACACAAGGCACATGGTTGCCCACGGCTCTGGGAGAAGGCTCAGCTCCTTACTGCCATGGGCTGCTCCCTGCGTCTGTGCCCTCCCCACGCCAGCTGTCCCGGCAGGCAGAGTCACCCGCCTCTCATCCAGGCCATACCACAGCTCTTTCCCTACTTGGAATCCACCTTGAACGTTGAAACTTTCTACCCGTGTGCTACAAAGTCACTCCTGGGCTGCTGTGGGGGTCAGTGGTAAGGGCTCTGGGCTCAATCTCCAGCACTGCAAAAGCTTCACCTCCTGGCACTTAGGAAAGGCTGCATCATGCAGGCTGGCATCTCGTTATCTGGAATTACTGGTGTGCCTAATTCCATGCCAGCCTCTGAGCCCCTGAAGGCCCTGGAGCCCATTAATGAAGTACAAAGGGCAAAGGTGCACTCACCTGTCAGGAGCAGGTCAGGGCATTGGGCTTAAGAACTTAAAATATAGGGGTCGGGGATTTAGCTCAGTGGTTTCACCCCCTGCTGCACAAGCACAAGGACCTGAGTTCGATCCCCGGTACAAAAAAAAAAAAAAAAAAAGAATTTAAAATGTAAACAAACAGAAAAAAACAAAGATTTTAAAATGTTGGGAGGGGTCCAGGGCCCCTCCTATTGGGTCTTCGAGTGTGATTGACAACACGATTGACAGGGTGCTGAGTCACTCATCTGTTTCTACAGTGGACCTCCTTTCCCATAATTCCCTCTGATACACTTGGATGCATGAGATGCAGTCCATATGCATGAGCCTTTAATGATTTCTAGGTGAAGAAAGGTTATGATAGGTCATCCCCCCAAGTCTAGTAGGCATGCATCCTGGTTTGGGATTTTGGAATTTCCAGGGGTATCTGTTATTCTTTTCTTGGTTTTTTGTTTGTTGGGTTTTTTGAGACAGGGTCTTGCTATGCTGTTCAGGCTGGCCTTGAACTCACTATGTAACCCAGTCTGGGCTTGACCCTCCTGCCTCTGCCTCCCAGTTCCGAATTACAGGCAAATGAAGCTTCTCCCCATGGGGGAGGTTGTGATCTTTTTCTCTGGCTCCAGGTAGTGGACCTTAGGACAAAAGTCGTGGGGGTTGGCCCTGGGGTGCTGCCTAGGTTCAGGTGAGTGGAGGAGAGTGGTCCATCAGCCCCTAGCTGTACAATCTGTGTTCCTTTGATTTGGTCTGCTGGATCTGAGTGGCCAGAAACAATGGACATAGCACTTCCAACTTTCAGAGTGCCCTCATACTTATCCTTTCTTTCCCCTCACAATTGCTGTGTCACCAGCTTCCTCCCTTTGGGTTCTTGTTCTGAGGCGACAAAGAAGTTAGGTGACAGAACAGCAAGCAGTGGGGACCGGTATTGGGTATGGTTTGTTTGAACAGAGAAAAGCCCTCACTAGATGGGGGTAACCAAGCACAAGGAAGCTCTCGAACCTAAGTGCTTCTTCTGTAAGGCTCTGGCGCGCTCAAAAGGGCAGGCAACGGGGGCAGAGGAGGCGTGAAGCTGCAGGTTTGCTGCTGTTTGCTGCTGCTGCTTGCCAGGCTGCCTGTGGCCTGCAGATTCTGTCAGTTCTTTGTGTTTTGCACTCTAATTTCTCTTGAAGCTTAGCTCATCTTGCCTTAGTTTACCTAGTTTATTTAGTTGCTGGCATACTGCAGATCTGCCAAGATTCTAACCCAGGTTTTAAGATACAGTACCTCGGCATGGGCTCCTTTTATTCCATGAAATCATCTTCCAAGTTTTACCTGAAAATAACTAATGGGCGGGGCCTATATGGGAACAAGACAACTTACCTTGACACTTCTTGCTACACCTAGCGACTCCCACACTCATCCACCCCTTTTGCTTCTAGTGATAAATTTTTCCTAAATTCACAATACTGTACAGTACTTTTGTAGTGAAGGTGACCTATCCCTTTAAAGCCTCAGGTGACGTATGGGTAGCCCCGCCCACTCCCCTGTGCTAAGCCCTGCCCACCGTTTTGCAGCCTCCGCCGGTGAGCGCCACCCTGTCCTGCCTCATCCGGGTTCCTGGGACTCGGAAGTTGACCCCGTAACCAGGCAACCTCTGATCCACCTTTTTGGACGCAGACTGCAGGGGCCAGGCGCTCCGCCCCTCCGTTGCCATAACACCAGTACACAACCCTTGCCCCTTACCCCTCTTCCAAAGCAACGCTTCCGGTTTGAACCGAGACCTTCCCCACAACTGCTTCCAGTTGAGAAAGCCGGGGTCTGCGCCCCTTTGGGAAGGGGGATTGGGTGGGGGGACAGAGGACAGAGGGAAATGGGGCTAGGCGGGGAGGGAAGGCTAGAAAGGTCTAGGGGTCTGAGAGGGCGTCCTGAGGGGAGAGGGTTGTGTATGGAAAGCATGAAACGAAGGTGGGAGTCAGCAGGAGATGTTTGCAGCAGGAGATGAAGCACAGTTGGGAGTCGGGGTGATGGGCGATGGGCAGGTACTGGTCAAGAGAGGTGAGGGAGCTGGGGTTGCAGGAAGCCCAGACCTTCTTTCTCAGGAGGAGGACTGAGCTTGATCTGACTCTGGGACCTTCCCACAAGGAGAAAGATGTCAGACGAAGATCTGGACAACTTGGAGCCAGAGCAGGATGATCTGGAAAAAGAAGATGATAAGGACACAGAGGAGTGGGAAGACTACAGGAAAGAGGGGGAAGACTTGACTGAAGAAGTGAGAGGCGGGAAAGGGGAGGGCGCCTAGGGTGAGGGCTGGGAGCCAGTGGCCTGGAGGAGACTGGGACTGGGACGCCCTTTGCTCCTGCAGTGGCTGCCCACGCCCCTGACGGAGGAGATGGTGAAGGAAGGGCTGTCTATGCTCTGTAAGACAGGCAATGGGCTGGCGCATGCTTATGTGAAGCTGGATCTTAAAGACAGGTGTGTTCTGGAGAACACAGCCACCAATGATTGAGAGATTGTGGGACCCCATCTGTTTTCCCACTCCTGTGCCTGGTGTTTGATGCAGACTGGATCTCTCATGCAGGCCCAGTGGCTGAGGGAAGGATGGGGTCTACCTTTCAGGACCTCCAGGTCTCCCTGGGGGCCAGTGTCTAACTCAGTGGAGAGCCCTTGCCCAGTGTGCAGGAGGCCCTGGTTCATCCCCAGAGCATGAGGCACAAGGACAAACTCAGAAGACTCTGAGAACCCGGAGGCTGAGTGTACGTGTGCGTGTGCATGTGTGTGGGGTATTTCTGCCGGATTCTCACCGTCTTTCAGAGTGTGTGGTCTGTGTCCCTCATGGAGGCACAGGCAGTCCACCATTAGGGACCCACCTCTGGGCTGGGGATGGAGCAAGTCCTGGGTTCCCTTCTCAGGGACACACACACACAACTGCCTTCTCTCCCCTTCCTCACCCCTCCCAGGTTACCCCTTCCCCTCCCCATTCACTGTAAGCCCTTTCTATGTTGCCCTTGGCTTTAGCACTTCTGCCAGTTCTCCTCATTCTTTTCCCAAACCTGGTTCTCCCCTCCCTGCATCTCCAAGAGACCTGACAGACATCTCCTTGCTATGCTCCTACATCCATCTGCGCTATGTGGATATCTCTGAGAACCACCTGACAGACCTGGCACCGCTCAATAACCTCACCCACCTGCTGTGGCTCAAGGCCGATGGCAACCAGCTTCGGAGTGCCCAGCTGAACGAGCTGCCCTACCTGCAGATCGCCAGCTTTGCCTACAACCAGATCACCGACACTGAAGGCATCTGTCATCCTCGGCTAGTGAGCCTGGATCTCAAAGGCAGGTCCTCATACCGAGCTATGACTCCTTCCGTCCTAGCCTGGGGCTGATAGAAGTGGGCAGTGTGGTCCTTCATTGTGCCATAGAGCAACCTGCATGCATTCATTCACTAAGACACTCACAGAGCCGGGGATATAGCTCAGTGATAGAATTGTGTTTTGTTTTGATGAAACAGGGTCTCGCTATGTACCTCACTGTGGCCAGTGAACTCACTATGTAGCCCAGGCTGGTCTCAAACTCATAGTGATCCTCCTGCCTCTGCCTCCTGAGTGCTGGGATTACAGTTGTGCACTACCATGCCCAGCTCAAGGTCCTGGATTTGATCCATCCCTAGCATCAAAAAAAAAATCAGGACACATATGAGGATTTGTTATCACAATTCTTCATGCTGGGGGTATGGCCTTGAACAAAACAAACATTCCTATTCTCAGCTAGACACGATGGCTCATGCCTGGAATCTCAGCACTCTGGGAGGCTGAGGCAGGAGATCAAAAGTTTGACCTCAGCCTGGGCAACTTAGCAAGATTCTATCACAAAATAAAAAACAGAAAGGGCTAGGGATATAGGCTCAGTGCAAAGGTCCTTCGTTTAATCCCCAGTACTGGGAAAAAAAAGTCCCTGTTCTCTCATAGCTTATATTCTAGTGAGGGCAGATAATTAACAATAAACACAATAAATAAGTAAAATTATATATTATGCAAAGAGGAGATACCTGCTACGGAAAAATAGACTGGTGAAAGCAGAATGGGGGAGGCACAAGTGACAATCTGGAACAGGTTGGTTAGGATAAGCATCATGCAGACATCTGAGCAAAGGGCTGAAGGAGAGGGAGCCAGATGCGTGGGTCGCTCAGTCTCAAAGGCTTAGTGGATGTCTCCACTGGGTCCACCTGCTCAGGGATCCAGAGGAAGTGTTGAGAGCTGGCCTTCCTCATCCTCCTTTTTGTGTTACAAGGAGAAGCTGTTAGTCTGGGCTGTGATGCTGACCATTCGGAGTGGCCCTCTGAGTGCAGATCCCCTCCTCCCCAGGGAACCACATCCAGGTGGTGACCAGCCTAGACCCTGAGAAGCTGCAGAGCCTGCACACCCTGGAGCTCCGGGGGAACCAGCTGTACACCACCGCAGGGATCAACCTCCCGAAGCTGAAGAAGCTCTTTCTGGTAGTTCCCTGGGCCGAAGGGTGGTTTGGGGAGTGAGGGTGCTAGGGCTACTGTAGGCTCTGTTGTGAAAAGCCCGTGTCATCAGTGGAGCCCTCCTTGGCCAGGGGGCACTGGGCTGTGATGTGAGAACAGAGTAGTCTGCTCTGGTGCAGCATCCTGTGCTTGACTGGGGCACAGTGGACAGGCTTAGGCGGCCACTTACAGTCAGCCTTTTAGACTGGAGCTGCTTCACTCCAAGGGACACTGCAGTCTCATGTCAGGGGCCCCTGGCCCTGGAGGTGGGGTGAAGTCTCTACCTTACTTAGAGGTGGCTTTGCTGGGACCTCAGGAGGGGGTTACATGGGACCTTTCCCTGAGATGGACCCAGGGCCCTCCATCCCAGCCAAGCACTCTGCCCCTGAGTTGTGGGCCCAGCCTCTCGGGGACTTTTCAGCTCCTTAATGCCCCTTTCCCTCTCCCACCCTGCTCTCCTGTCTCTTGCATTTTCACTTTTGCTTTATCTCTTTCTGATGTCCGTCCCTTCCCTCTCCATCCTGTCCTCTCTCCATCTCCTGTGTCTTGGGGCGCAGGCCCAGAACATGCTGAAGAACGTGGAAGGCTTGGAGAACCTAAGCGACCTCACCACCTTACATCTTCGAGACAACCACATCGAATCTCTGAGCGGCTTTTCCAAGGAAATGCAGTCGCTGCAGTACCTCAACTTGAGGTGCGGTCCCTTCCCAGCCCCGCCCTGTGCCTGCCTGGCCAGGAGGAGCTTTGGAGCCTGTTTTCCTCCAGCCCCAGTCCCCCATTCTAGCCCACAGACTGGTCCTCCCCTCATCGCCTCCTGATGCCCCTGCTTCCCTAACCCCTAAAGGAAGTCTCTGTTCTTTTCTTCTCTTCCCCCCTTCCCCTTCCCCTCCTTCCTTCCATAGTGAGGTCTTACTATGTTGTCCAGGCTGTCCTTGCACTCCTGGACTCCAGCAGTCCTCCTGCCTCAGCCTCCAAAGTAGCTGGAAAAGTACCAGTGCACCTGTGGCCCCTGTTCTTCAAGAATTCAGAGTCTGGCTCCAGCTCTCTTTTGGACCCGCCCATTTTTGTTTGTTTTTGTGCTGGGGATTGAACCCAGGGACCCACACAGGCCAGGCAAGTGCTCTGCCACTGAGCCACATCTCCAGCTCCAACTTTCGCTGGCCCTGTCCTGTATAAATTCCCACTGCCCCGTTTCCCTTCCCATTTCTTGCCTCTCTCCTCCCGACCCCCACCTAAGTGACAGTCCCTGTGCTGACATACGGATGCCCTCCAGCTTGAGCAGAGGATAATATCTGAAAGAAACTCTCAGGAGGAGACTGGAGGGTGGGAAAGGGAGATTTTGTCAGCAACTCATACAGTGGCGGATTTTTTTTCTTCCTTTTTTTTGGTACCAGGAATCGAACTCAGGACCTTTTGCCTTCGAGGCAGGCATGGTGCCACTGAGCTAAGTCCCCGGTTCTTTTCTTACTCTGTTTTGTGGCCCTGGGGATTAAACCCTGGCCTCATTCATGCTAAGTGTGGCTCTCACACTGAGCTTTTCCTCCAGCCCCGGAGGGTCTATGTGTGTTTCTTTTCTTTTCCTTCAGTACTGGGGATTGAATTCAGAGCCTTCACACTGAGCTACATCCCCGGCCCCTCTTCCCTCCACCTTTTCTTTTTCTTTTTCTTTTTGAGTCAGGATCTTGTTAAGTCTCTAAATGGTGCAGGATGGGCTCAAACTTTCGATTACAGGTGTGTGCCACTGCACCTGGCTTTATATGTATTTAAGTAAAAGTGTAAGGAAACTGTCTTTCCTTAGGAGGTAACAAGAACAAATTCTTCAGCAGGACATGGTGCCACACACCTATAATTCCAACACTTAGGAGGCTGGGGCAGGGGGATCATAGTGAGTTCAAAGCCAGCCTGGACTACATAGCAAGACCCTAGCTCAAGCAAACAAACAAAAAATCCTCCAGCTGGCCACAGAAGTGGGTAATGCACCTGGAAGCCCCAGTCCCAGGGTCTGGGTCAATTTCTTGGCCATTAGCTCTGCCGTCATGGATCGCGCGCGCATGTGTGTGTGTGTGTGCGTGTAACAGACCCTTCCTCACCGGCCATTAACTGGCCATGCTCAGAGATGGGGGGTGGGTATCTGCAGATACCAGATCTAAACGACAAAGGGCAGAGATGATGCACATCCCACAAAGTGCAGAACACTCCTTATAGGGCCTAGCACATCCATGGTACCAGGCTGAACCACTTGGGTACACTGTATAAAGGCTTGCAGGAAGAACAGGAGAATAAAGACACAGTAGCCCACCAGAGGCCCATTGGGAGACCACTGGCCCTCGCTCCAGGTTCCCTCCTCGGGCAGCAGCGACACAGCACCCACCTGAGCTGGTGTTAGATGCCAGGTCCTCCTCGACGGCCTGGACCTTGCCTTCTCACCTGCACTGACACCTGTTCCTCCCCTGCAGGACAGTGTGGCCTGCTGCTGCCCCAGCAGGTGAATGGCAGCACGTAACAGGGCAGAATGTGGCCCTCAGGGGTTCCTTGAAGGGCAGAAGCAGGACAGGAGGGGGACTGGGCAGCACCCAGTGCTTCGAGGGAAACTGAGGCCTGGTGGGAGGGGCCCCAGGGACCCCACTCCTAAGAGCTGGCAACGAAAGCCCATTATTCCTGGGCAACCCACTCCTAACCACGCTGGCAGGGGCAACGCAATAACCAGCCTGGGGGAGCTGGCCAAGCTTCGGGACCTGCCTAAACTGCGAGCTCTGGTGCTGCTGGAGAACCCGTGCACAGACGAGACCGACTACCACCAGGAGGCCCTGGTGCAGATGCCGCACCTGGAGCGCCTGGACAAGGACTTCTACGAGGAGGAAGAGAGGGCTGAGGCTGACGAGAAACGTCAGAGGATGAAGGAGGACCAGGAGCAGGAGCGAGCCTGAGCATGGCCTGGAGGGAGACCTGCCCTCTGTCTAGCAGCAGTGCTGGTCCCCAAGCACAGTAAGGGAGCTGGCAGGAGGTAGCGAGCAAAGGCCTAGGGCTGGGCAGGTGGGAAACAGAAGCTGCAGAAGGAGGAGATGGGCGGGTCAGGGCCAAGGCAAAAAGCCTAGGAGATATCAGAATCGGGGTGAGGGGACCTGAACCCAGGAGGGCATAGGGGAGACAACAGGAGGCCAGAGCCTGAGCGAAAATCCTAGGAAGGGCAGGTCTGGGGCGTAGATGAAGGGAAGCCAGCCGGAGCTGGCTAGTGGTACATGAAGAAAGAAGTGGGCCTGGAAGAGAAGGAGGAGAGGAAGACCCTGGGCTGAAATCTGGGAGGAGAAAGGAGCCGGGCAGGTGAGGCAGCTGGACACACAGGGCAGAGGCTTTCCTTCTGCTCTTCCCCAGAGAAGGAAAGCAGCGACGGCGGCCCTGTACCAAGGAGCTGATGAAACTGCTGGTGGGGGTGGGGACCCGCATTCACACTCATCGTGAGGCCCAAACGGGGCAACAGGGAGACCGAGGCTCCCCCTCTGCCCCAGAGCTGATGATGCCCGGGCTCAGCGATGGGTGTATGCCTGGAGCCTGCCGGGCCCTTCGGGGCGACAGCTGGGGTTTCGAATAAAGAGACATCCGGGTACTCGGGGCCTAACCTGCTTTGTGAGACACTGCGTCGGCTTACGCTGCGGGGCCGCACCTGTCTGCTCAGGGCTGCTCGGGAGTGGGTAGCAGCGCGCGTGGGCCCGGCTCGCCCCGCCCCTGGTGCCCCCCTCGGCCCCCCAGCGGCTCGTACGTGGCCTCCGCCGGCAGTTCCTGACTCATCGGGGGCTCCGGGTCACATGCGCCCGACGGCCCTGCAGGCGCCGCCCCCCGCCCGCTCCGGGAGCAGCAGCCGCTGCCGCCGCCACTCGCGTCCTCCCTGCGTCGCCGCCGAGCCCGCAGCCCGAGCGAGGTGAGGCCCGGCCCTGCCGCCCCGCCCCCGCCCGGCCTCCCGCCTGGCCTTCCGCCTCGCGCCCGGGGGCGCTGCGCACCTGCTGGGCCCGGCCGGGCCTCTGCCCTTCGCCTCCGCCTTCGCCGGGGCCTGCCCATCGGCTCCTAAGTTCGGCGTCTCCGCGGGCTCTGCATTTACTTCATCCCTGCACGTCCTTTCCTGCCTTGCATTTGGGGAACCGTCTTCTCTCGCCTTTCTCGACCCCCAGACTTCCCTTAGAAGCCCCCTCCCCACGCGTCCCCACGTCGCCCTCCGCTGCAGCTGCCCAGGAGGGATGGAAGGCGCGGGGCCCTCTCATCCTCCCCCAGCCCACCCCGGCCCCAGGGCTGGAGGGCCCCCCAGGACCCCGTCCCCAGGACCCTGCTCCCCAGGACCTCTTCCGCAGGACTTGCCCCCAGACTCCTCTGCTGTACGTCCCTCGGGAAGAGGAGGGACCCTAGCGTGGTAGGGCCAGGTGGGCTGGGGCGCTGAGTTGGGACAGGATGCGGGTCTGCAGGAGACGGTTCTTCCCGGCTTTTGGGAAATCCGGCCTGGCAACCATTCCGTGCGCTCTGGCGCGATCTGGGGACCCCACGGCCGGCGAACCTACCCGGACGCCTGTGAACCTCTGCCAGGCCCCTCCCCCTCCTCCCTGCGGTGTTCGCCTATCTTCTGGTTTTCGGAACCTACCCGCCCCCCACTGCAGTGACCTCCCCTTCCTCACTGCATTGACCTTCTTCCCCGGGGGGAGGGGCCCGCTCCTCCCCACCCCCACCGACTGCAGTAACCTCTTTCTCAGCCTCCCGCGCCTCCCTCTGCGCTCAGGCTCCGCCCCCTAAGCCTCTTACCTTTTGCCTTCCTTCGCTTCCAACCCAGGAACCCCAGCCGTCATGTCCATGGAGAGGCTCTGGGCCCGGGAGATCCTGGACTCCCGTGGGAACCCCACCGTGGAAGTGGATCTCCACACTGCCAAAGGTATGGGTGGGGCTCCCGCTTCTCCGAGGAGCTGAGGCTGCAGCTGCGGCTGGCCTGGCCGGGTGGGGAGGCCCCCGCCTTGGCACCCGAGGGGTCCGGCTGGGCCGGGCTTCCAGGGCTGGGCTGTGGGGGTTCCTGTGTTCTGGTTTAGTGGGAGACGTGCCCTGCCTCTGCGTGTGTGCCTGAACACACGTGTGTTTGCACACGTGCACGTGAGCTGCCTGGCGTAGCTTCACTTCTGTGGGCTCCTACTTGTGCCTGCGGGATCTCAGCTGGGTGGATGAAGAGGCCACTGCTTGTGCGGCTGGCTCAGGTGTGCGCGCGTGTGAGTGTGTGTGTGGTGTACTGTGGAGGGAGGCCTGGAGGGCCGGCGGAATCCCTGGTCCTGCAGTGCCCTGTCCTCACTGTGACGTCTCCCAGGTCTTTTCCGGGCTGCAGTCCCCAGCGGAGCTTCCACTGGCATCTATGAGGCCTTGGAACTGAGGGATGGGGACAAACAGCGCTACTTAGGCAAAGGTGAGGGCTTTTCTTCTCCAGCCCCTGCCGCTCCTCAGCCATGCCCTTCCCTCCTGCAGTCCCGCCCTCTCCTATGTGCGTTCTCCTCACTTCCCTTGGCTGCCCCTCCCAGGCCGCCCCTGCCTGACCCTGACCAGCCTCCCCCTCTCCGCAGGTGTCCTGAAGGCAGTGGACCACATCAATACCACCATCGCACCGGCCCTCCTGGGCTCAGTGAGGCCTGCCCCTGGGGCCCGGATGGGGGGAGAGACTCCTTCCCGCCCCTGCACCCATGGGCCTCCCTGTACTGACAGGCTGCTGTCCCGGGGACCAGGACGCCCTGTGTGCCGTGGGGCCCAGCTCCCTGCGGCCGTGTGTGATGCAGTTCTGTCCACAGGGTCTGTCTGTGGTGGAGCAAGAGAAGCTGGACAACCTCATGCTGGAGCTGGATGGGACCGAGAACAAATGTAAGCAGGAGGCAGGAGAATGTGAGGGTGAACTGGGGGGGCTTCCTCAAGCGACAGTCCCCCTCCTGAGGCCGCTGCGGTGGGAGGTAGGGACATCAGACAGAAGAGAGAACTGCTCTGTACCGTAAGAGGTGGGAGTTGGCAGGAGACTGTCTGGGGCTGCTTCGAAAAAGGAGAGGCTTCCTGCCCTTCCAGCCACCCCTCCCCACCTCCTCCCTGTGCCCAGAAAGTCAGCCGTTGAGAGGGCTGGAGTGGGGAGGGTGAGTCTCCTTTACTGGCTCACTGTGGGGACACCCGTGGAGGCAGACAACAGAAAGGGGGTGTTTGGGCTTATTCCTTCTTCTGCAATCTCCCAGCCAAGTTTGGGGCCAACGCCATCCTGGGTGTGTCCCTGGCCGTGTGTAAGGCAGGGGCGGCGGAGCGGGGGCTGCCTCTCTATCGCCACATCGCTCAGCTGGCCGGGAACTCAGACCTCATCCTGCCTGTGCCGGTGAGCTGTGCCTGCCTGTGTCCCTGTCCCCAGGTGTCAGGGGTGACCCCTTGTGAGGAAGGGTGGGGCAGTGACAGGGCAGCATCTGTCGGTGCCTCGGCCCGGGTTGGAATCCTGGGTTAACCCTCCGGGCTCCACCTGTGGCTCCCCAGGCCTTCAATGTGATCAATGGCGGCTCCCATGCTGGAAACAAGCTGGCCATGCAGGAGTTCATGATCCTCCCCGTGGGGGCCGAGAGCTTCCGGGACGCTATGCGACTCGGGGCGGAGGTCTACCACACACTCAAGGGAGTCATCAAGGACAAGTACGGCAAGGATGCCACCAACGTGGGGGACGAAGGCGGCTTTGCTCCCAACATCCTGGAGAACAGTGAAGGTGAGGCCAGCTCCAGCTCAAAGCCCACTGCCTTCTGGGGACAACAGGAAGGCACTCTGCTGAGCCCCTCAGAGCATGGGGATGGCTCTGGGGCCTCCCAGGTTCACAGGCTGAGCCAGGAGGACGGTGTTTTACCTGCTTAGCCAGACCTGGTGGCATCTGTAAGTTCTCAATGGAGCCCTGAGGGTCCTGAGGATGGTCCAGGTGACCGACCATAGGCGCCTCGGGTTGATGAAATACACCACAATTAGGGAACCCATTCCTCATGTACACTGCCCCACCCTGGCCTCTGAGGCCTCCAGGATTTCTAATTTTCCTGTGCCCTGGGAGAAACTGTATTGAATAGAAACTATGTAGGTAGTACTTAAGAGTCAAGGTTCTCAGCCAGAGCGATGGCACACACCTGTAACCCTAGCTGCCCAGGCAGCTAGAGCAAGATTACAAGTTCAAGGCCAGCCTGGGTGTGGTTTAGCAAGACTGTGCCTAAAAAACGTGGGTAGGGTGGAGCTCGGTGGTAGAGCCCTTGCCCAGCCTTGGATTTGATCACAGACAGCAAAACAAACAAAGCTTCTGGGGTCACACCTCTCCACGCTTCCTTGTTCTTACCTGTGAAGTGGGAATATAACAGTTTCTGCCTTGTCCTGGTGCGAGGATGAAGGGAGACCACATATGTACAGTGCCGGGGTGACATGACACCAATAAAAACGCTGACTGTTAGTATCAGCTCTGTTCCTTCTCCCCTCAGACCTAGGCGCCACCCCCACAACCCCAGTAGCCACACTGGCCCAGGCAGCTGTCTTCCACCCTGCGGACTTTCTTTCCTCTCGCTCTTCCTTCCCTGCCCTCTCCTCCTCACAATATCACTTTCTTCCATCTCTAGCCTTGGAGCTGGTGAAGGAGGCCATTGATAAGGCTGGCTACACGGAAAAGATCGTCATCGGCATGGATGTAGCTGCCTCCGAGTTTTACCACGATGGCAAATATGACTTGGACTTCAAGTCCCCAGCAGATCCTTCCCGATACATCACTGGGGACCAGCTGGGGGCGCTCTACCAGGACTTTGTCAGGGACTATCCTGGTGAGAACTGGGGTGTAGGCCTGGAATCCCAGTACTCGGGAGCCTGAGGCAGGAGGATCTCTGTGAGTTCAAGGCCAGCCTGAACTACAGAGTGAGACCATGTTTGAATACAGCCAAAAAGAAAGAAAAAAGAGAGAAAGAGAGAAAGAAAGGGGATGTGGGAGAGAGGGGCACAGGTAGACCTGTTGGGGCAACTCTGGACTTCGTGGGTACTAACTCAACCCCCAGGTGGAAGTGTGCCAAGAGGAAGGAGAACTGGGAACTAGTGCCAGGTTGAAGGAGCCTTCGGCAGACAGGGCTTTGCGCGCTGTGTAAATGTGCAGGGCCCTGTGATGCTTCAGTTTCCATCTGCTTCCATCCTGATTAGAAGCCACTGGGGTCATGGGGATGGGGTAGGAACCAGGATGGTGAGACAGGCTGGCCTGGCCTAGGAGTGCACTAGTGCATTTCCGTTTCTTTGATTGAAATCGTGGCTGCAGAATGGAGCTGTGAGTAATGTGTGAATGAAGAAGATGGCTGAGGAGAGACTAAACTACCTACCCTCTCCAGGCCTAGTGAAGGCTTCTGCCCAGGGGCAGAGTCGGGCTGGCTCTGTCTTCCCAAGACAGAGCAAGAAGAGACAGACATTGATTGCAGCAGGAAGGAGCTGGACTAACAATGAGGAAGGGCTTCCTGGCAGTGAAAATAGGAAAGTGCAAAGTGAAGTTGTGAGGAAGGTTTGAACTCTTGTTACTGGAAGGTTTATGAAGTAAGAATCAGGAGTAGGGGGTGGTTGCACATGCCTGTGATCCCAGAACTCTGGGAAGCTGATACAGGAGGATTGCAATTTTGAGCCCAGCCTGGG